TTCACGACGCTACGGAAACCGCGGCAGACCAAACCAGATGAAAGTGCGCATTCAGCTCAGCAAAGAACTCATGCTCTTCCTCAACACTGAAGTCCTCAGACATTTTTCTTTCGTTGTTTCTTTCTTTGCAAAGGTAAACAGCACATTTCTTCTTCTACGCTTGCATTATTGGCAGAGCAGACGCTGAATGCGCACTTTCATCTGGTTTGGTCTGCCGGCTTCCGTAGCGTCGGGAACGCGCAGGCGCGCGCTTTCAGGAAATCCTATATACTACTGTTTATGCTCTGTTTATGTTTCGAGTAAATTCTGGATGCTACCCACTCAGGACACTTGGAATACATTGGACGAGCAGTATGGAGGAATATTGACACGTTTTTTGTGGACTTTTATGGACCTTTCTGTCTCAGGCACCATAGACCTCCATTATTTGAATGTCAGCAGACAGCAAGAAGCCTCCCAGATCTCCAGATCCATTTGAGATATCAAAAAAGTACTCCAGAGTGTTGTTCAGCATGGGGGTGAGTAGAAAATGAAGGCTAATCATGTTTTGGGTGTACTATTCCTTTAAGCAAAAAGGATCAGAAAGAGTCCATCTGAGCAGCCAAATACATTATTGAAATGATGCGTGATAGATATGCAGCAGGAATTAATTTTTTACCATATTGTCCAAATAATACGATGATAATCCGATTGTGATTCACCCACAAATCTTTAAAACTTAAATCGATCGGGTTTAGGGGTGTGGAAACAAACATTGATTTGGTGATAGTGATTTTTGATTATCCGATAAAACATCGATTTCAGTTCAATAAAAAAAAAAAAAAAACAGAAAAAAAAAAACTCTGCAACGCCACTCTGACATATCTGTAGTGGAGGCAGTCTTAGTGAAAGACATGGACTGACTCAAACCCCAAACATCATGGATACCAAAATAACTAAATGATCAATATGTTCAGATAACAATTGATTTTTTACCTATACATTCAATTTGATAGCTGGGAAAAATATTGCCATATATAGCAACATTGCAATGTTGTGATAATATCATAAGGTGACAAGTATATTATCGTAACAGCCATGGCAATACTCACCCCTAATCAGGTGTGGGCAGAAAGGACAATAAAGGCTGAGCCAGTCAGTAACATGTACTGCCGGCACATTAAATAAAATAGCAGAGCTATTTCACATACATAAGCTAAAACGACCACCTCAACTGGATAAATAGGGTAGCTCTGTATTCAACCAGATAAATGCATGCTGTCCTAAATAGTGGACGTGAAACCAATGCAACCAAAGAAGCAAAAATTATGAGTAATTCATCATCTGATAAAAAGTTGGGAGAAAAAAATTCGAATGATGATTGGATTTTGTTTGTGCCTAAAGTTGTAGGGAAGCGGCTGTTCCAACGGTTGCATTTCCGAATTCTCCCGAGTGGGTCACGACGGGATTGTAGTGGCGGAAGGTTCACAAGCAAGTTTGATTTTCGGCGGTTGTCTTGGAAGCATCTTGCTAACCAGTTAGCAACTTAGTGCTAGTAGGTTATCAATGGGAAATTCCATTGGGACCAAGTAGCACTAAATTGGTGACTTAGAAACGACGCTGTCAAGGAACGCTATGGACAGAGGAAACATGCAAGAGGAGAGTTTAGTGTCAGAGGTCATGGATGAGTCTCCTCAGTCATCCATTTTTTTATTTAGAGGAGGAAAGCGGGGACGAAGATGTTGTGGAAGAGGACGCCAGGGCGGCAGAAGCTTGGTTTGGTGTAGAAGGCTTCCAGCCGTACATGTTTGAGCCCTTGCCTCGCAACGCTGCCAGTTCTGTTAGCTCTACGCCTGCTGAAGACACAGACGTCCATCCCCGTGAACACTGGGACACAACTCAATGGGAAAGGAAATGATTCTGATTTCTTATTTGAACCATTGCGTATATTAGCTGCGACATATGAATCAAGATGCTATGACTGAAAAGATTTGATTGACAGATGACCGTTGATATGATTGGTCGAATTTTGGTGCACAAGCTGACGTATAACTAACCGGGCTGCATAAAATAACAAAAAAACGCAGGTTTTAAGACAGGATTTTTTTTTTTATAGAAATTTTCTAAATTTTGTGGCAATATAGTCTGATAAAGAGTACATTTATATACATGTTTAAGCCAGAATGATTTTACATTTAAATATGACTTCCCTATGACATAATTTTTTATCAAAAAAATCTAAATCAGCTGATTATAGCTAATATTTTAGCCAAATAAATCTTTTTAAAAAAACTAGACCATATTTTTGCTGAAATCAAAAAAAAAAAAAAAACTGAAATATTTTCTATAAGGACAGACTGACAGACTTCCTCTAATAAACCCATTCATTCATTCAACCTCAGTTTCTACATCCTTATATTGACTACACGGGTTCAAAATTAGTCTTTGTAAAATTATTTAAACAAATTTCAATGACATGAATAAATCTCCTTAAACAAGTGAATCATGAAAGACTCATGATGAGGGAATGAAGGAGAGCAAGTTCACAGGCTAAAGGTTCATGGTGGTTATTAGCTCAAGATGTTCCCACGATAAGATGGAGCATAATTCACCAAAGGAAAATAAAACTATTAATTCCGTTGACACCTTAAAACTGAGCTCAAGGTGATAGAGGTAATAGACCCCTAAACCGTTTGATCAGTGTCCGGGCGGTTTGGGAGTAACTGGGCTTGACCGAAACTTAGCATGTTAGCCGAGCTAGCAGGAGCTTCCCCGTGGCGTGGCTGAAGGAGAGGGCGGTGAAAAAAAAAATAATTAAACGGACTCCTGGGAAAAAACCGCTCACATCTCCGACTGCGAGAGTCGGAAGCTGCGGAGGATAAACGCGTGGACACCTGTCAGAACAGGGTGTGCTGTTAGCTCGCTAACTAGCATCGTTTGAGAGCCATGATGCCTTAGGAAGGCTCGCTGCCAGATAGTGATCCATGCTCAGGGCTGGAAATACAATGAGTGGATTCAAAACACATGCACGTCCAGGGAGGTCATTTAACGCGATAAAAACGAAATTACACAAGACTCGCTGAAGGATAATAAATGACAGGCAGGTGGTTTGTATAACAGCATGATCTAAAACGAACAAAGATGTGTAGTTCAGCCAAGACCAATTACGCCTGCGCGGATCACTATTTGACATCCTTTCGGTTACCCTACAGGCCCTTGCAGCCAGGCAGGCAAGCCAGCCGGGCGTTTTCACCGCCGAACAAATAAAGGATACTCAAGGTTAACATCTTGGACTGGTAGTCAAACGCGACCACTTCTCCCTGTAGTTGTTGGCCCAAACAGGTGAGGCAAGAGACATGGCTCCCGACGCTGAAATACTCCCCGGGTCCAGGAGCCGCCATCTTCTCCGCCAGGAAACCGGAGCGCTTGCTTTACGTAAGGCGACGTGATGTCGTAACGGAGGGGGGCGGGGCCTGGGCGTGTCGTAGGTCGTCAGATTTACGGCCTTTGGGGAAATGCTGCAGTTCAGAGTGAACCTCAAATTTCATCACTCAACTGTTTCCAGATGTTTTGGTTTTTACCTCGAAAATCGTCATCAGGCATCTAAAAAAGAAAATACTGGACCTGAAATCAGACACATATGTATACGGAAGTGGATTAGGGCCACTGAAAAACATAAAAAGTTAACTGATTTTTAAATATTATTTCAGTTTAATTTGGGGAAAGGTCAAAATTCTGACTTTAATCTCAGAAGTCTGACTTTTTTCTCAGAATTCTGACTTTTTTTTCTAAGAATTCTGACTTTTTTCCTCAGAATTTTGAATTTTTCTCAGAATTCTGAATTTTTCTCAGAATTCGGACTTTTTTCCTCAGAATTCTGAATTTTTTCTCAGAATTCTAACTCTAATCCCAGCATTCTGGATCTTAATGTAGATGGGCACCATGAAGGAAGAGCTATGGAAGCACTCAGTTTCACTGACAAAGATGTGAGTTATTTGGGAGGGCTTTAGGGGCCCCGGTAATGCTATTTAATTAATGGAAGAACAGAAGGTGATTAAGAGAGCTAGATTATCCTCTAAAACAGACATGGCTACGACTTGATGCTAACAAGTATGTTAGCTGTCAGAATTCAGTCAGAATCTTTAGATTAAAGTCAGAATTCTAAGAAAAAAGTGAGAATCCTGAGATTAAAGTCAGAATTCTGAGAAAAGTCAGAATTCTGAGATAAAAGTCAGAGTTCTGACAAAAAAAAAAATCAGAATCCTGAGATTAAGGTCAGAATTCTAAGATAAAAGTCAGAATCCAGAGATTAAAGTCAGAATCCAGAGATTAAAGTCAGAATCCTGAGATTAAAATCAGAATCCAGAGATTAAAGTCAGAATCCAGAGATTAAAATCAGAATCCTGAGATTAAGGTCAGAATTCTAAGATAAAAGTCAGAATCCTGAGATTAAAGTCAGAATCCAGAAATTAAAGTCAGAATCCAGAGATTAAAGTCAGAATCCTGAGATTAAAGTCAGAATCCAGAAATTAAAGTCTGAATCCTGAGATTAAAGTCAGAATCCTGAGACTAAAGTCAGAATCCTGAGACTAAAGTCAGAATCCTGAGACTAAAGTCAGAATTCTGAGAATAAGTCAAAATCCTGACATTAAAGTCCAAATCCTGACTTTTTTCTTATATTATACAGAAATAAAATGTTAAAATCAGTTAACTTTTTTTTATTTTTTCATTGGCCCTTATCCTCTTCCGTTCTTTTGTGTCTCGTATACACATTTTCTTTCTATTAGAGCGCTTTATATATATATATATATATATATATATATATATATATATATATATATATATATATATATATATATATATATATATATATATATATATATATATATATATATATATATATATATATATATATATAAATATATTAAAACTGCGCCACCTTCTGGTAATATGTAGATACTACTTAAATTAACTTCGCATCTGCATGAAGAGAATTCAGGTTCCTTTCTGGGATCTCGATCAGTTAGCCTACTTCATCCTCCAAAATTCTAGTCGGCGTACAAATGGAATATATAAACACACAAAAATAAGAACTTTTAGAGAGAGTAGCTCCGACTAGAATAAATATGTTTCTTTAAGAGGATTTGGCGCGGTTGAACAAACCGTTAGAACGATCAGAGAACCGGCCAATCAGAATGGATCAGTGGCGAACATCACAGCATTGCAATACAGGAGCAACTCACTTTCAGTAATTAGAAGTACCGATCCTTTACAGTACTACCGTTCTTAGGCGTCTATAGGGATGGAGGCGGTGTACACACAGGGCGTTTGGATCGCAGAGTTTCTCCAGCAGCAGACTAATGACTTAGAGCACTTCTGGCTCACAATCACTCACATCGGGGATCCTAAAGCAGCATTTCTGCTCGTTTTCCCCTTCACCTATTTTATTTGTCAGCGAACCGGCGTTGCGGTGCTGTGGGTCGCGGCTCTATCGGAGTGGTTAAACTTGGTGTTTAAATGGTAAGATCTTTAAAACCGACAGAAAATACGTTAGGTGCAACCATTCATTATAAAGGGCCTTTATTTTCATTTTTAAAACAGCCACTGGTACTTTTTTTCATTTCGTAAAACAAATGTCATCTCACTTTTGTAGTTATAAACGTTGTGCTATTCTTTCATTTTATTGTAGTATTTTAACGTTGCAGCTTCCGGGTCAACACCGCGGTCCACCTCTATAAGTTGTCCGTGCTGAAACTCTATCAATGGAACCTTTGTTCCACTACTCTCTGTTGCAACTTGTGTTTTCTAGTTTCTTCATCAAAGAAACGTTTAAAACCTCAATTACTGATGTGAGTTAGATTTTATTAATGTATGTATCGAACTTCTTTAAAAAAGTAAAAATTAAATCATAGCTTCACATTTTGCCTTTTAGTTAACGTAGAGAGGGAAATATATATAATACAAATTAATACACAGTGTATTACATATACATTTATTTCTAATTTTAACTCAAAAGGTTTTATTTTTAACATTAACTTTTTTTTATGTGCAATTTAAGTTATAATGTAGTTTCGGTTTTTTATATTAACTAATTATTTTCCCTTAAACCCAATAATTTGTTGTGAACCCTTGACTGCAGAAATTGGACATTTTTATTTTATTAAATGCTTTAAACCAGATTTAAATTGACATACATTTTCAAAACATTCCAACTTTTTTTTATGCTTTTTTGCACTATATTCACTGTTTTTATATTGTCTGTTGTAATTTTAATGGCATCTTGCTTTAACTCTTTGTACTCTATATAAGCTACTGGAACTAGAACTTCCCTGAAGGAGTAATCCCAAGGGATAAATAAAGTTAGTCTAAAACATTTTTACTTTTCTTACCTCAGTCCAGATATTTTTCATTAAAATCTTGAGGATCCCAGAGCTTTTTGCTCAGCACTGGCTTTGATCTTGGATCTTTCTTATAAAGATCTATTATACTCAGTTTTTTTATGGATCTGGGTTGACCGGCTACTCCTGGCAGGATAATTTCTAGTCTAAATTTTCTTCTTTTGTGGCTTTCACTGTAGATTACTGGAGCCTTGAAGTCTTTGGCTCTCATCTGTTCTTGGTTTTTAGATAACAACGTGTCACTATTGGGATTATTTAGGGTACTTTATATTTTCTGCCTATTCCTATTTATGAATTATGTTAAATTCTTAAAGGAATAGTACACCCAAAACATGATTTGCCTTCATTTTCTACTCACCCCCATGCTGAACAACACCCTGGAGTACTTTTTTGATATCTCAAATGCATCTGGAGATCTGGGAGGCTTCTTGCTGTCTGCTGACATTCAAATAATGGAGGTCTATGGTGCCTGAGGCAGAAAGGTCCATAAAAGTCCACAAAAAACGTGTCAATATTCCTCCATACTGCTCGTCCAATGTATTCCAAGTGTCCTGAGTGGGTAGCATCCAGAATTTACTCGAAACGAAGTCATTTAGAATGTTTTTAGAGCATAAACAGTAGTGTATAGGATTTCCTGAAAGCGCGTTCACGACGCTACGGAAACCGCGGCAGACCAACCCAGACGAAAGTGCGCATTCAGCTCAGCAAAGAACTCATGCTCTTCCTCAACACTGAAGTCCTCAGACATTTTTCTTTCGTTGTTTCTTTCTTTGCACAGGTAAACAGCACATTTCTTCTTCTACGCTTGCATTATCGGCAGAGCAGACGCTGAATGCGCACTTTCATCTGGTTTGGTCTGCGCGGTTTCTGTAGCATCGTGAACGCGCAGGCGCGCGCTTTCAGGAAATCCTATACACTACTGTTTATGCTCTAAAAACATTCTAAATGACTTCGTTTCGAGTAAATTATGGACGCTACCCACTCAGGACACTTGGAATACATTGGACGAGCATTATGGAGGAATATTGACACGTTTTTTGTGGACTTTTATGGACCTTTCTGTCTCGGGCGCCATAGACCTCCATTATTTGAATGTCAGCAGACAGCAAGAAGCCTCCCAGATCTCCAGATGCATTTGAGATATCAAAAAAGTACTCCAGAGTGTTGTTCAGCATGGGGGTGAGTAGAAAATGAAGGCTAATCATGTTTTGGGTGTACTATTCCTTTAAGATCTGGAGTACTAAGGCCTGGATGTGGCTGGTAAAATTAGATAGAAGTTGGTGATCAATCATATAATAATTTTACTAAAGGTTTTGAGTTTCATTTTTTAAATATAAATCTTTATTTGAATCAGCAATCTGGATAAACGTATCTTTTTCAAATGTTAAATTTATTTGTATTTAGAGTTTAAGGCAGAAAAAAAAGTTGAATAATGATTTGTGGTGAATGGTTCCTCCTATTTTCCCCTCAGGATGTTGTTTGGAGAACGACCGTTCTGGTGGGTCGGCGAATCTCAACTTTTTGTCGAAACACAACCCAAAATTTCCCAGTTTCCATCCACCTGTGAAACTGGACCAGGTGAGGCAAAAATCAAACACACTCAAGTCATAGATGACCCTCTTCTTTTGGAAGAAGAGTTAAAATCTCCAGATTTTGTGATTTGTTTCCTCAGGAAGTCCATCGGGACACGCGATGGTGACCGCCGCAGTCTGGTGGGTGGTGGTGTCCTCCCTGGGCTCCTTTCTGTACTCCCGCACTGGAAGGTAAACAAAACGGAAATCACTTTAATAAAAAGGAAAGGCGCACTAGTTTTAATCCTTTTTCCTTTGTGTTCAGCTGGCTGATATCAGCTGCTCCCTCTCTGCTTTACGTGCTGCTGCTGGTTGCAGTCGGAATATCCAGGATCTTTATCCTCGCCCATTTTCCTCACCAGGTTGTTGCTGGATGCATTACAGGTCTGATACAAGTTAGTTTATTTATTTTCTTTATACAGGATCATTTCACAGGCTTGACATGGTTACAGCAGATGATAAAACATGTAAAGGGAGTAATGTTACTAAAAACTAAATCTTTTATTTACGGATAATTCCAAAATGTTAACTTTAGCTCAACTCAGAGGAAATATGTTGGAGTATGAATAGTTTTGGTCTTAGCTGTATATTATGATGGCTGAGGACAGGAAGGTTCTCCTTTAGCAGTCAGGGGATCTGAAGAAGTGTCTGAAAATATGTTTTCATGCAGGGGCGTAGGTTTGATTTTAACTTTGATAGGGACACTATTGGTCTGATGTCATTGGTCCTATGCAAAAACATGCACGCTAATTTTTTTATCCTTGACGGGAAAATCAGGGTGTTTCATTTAAAGAGAAAAGCAGCATTTCTTGCTACATTTATACACATTTTAAAGCACTACACTAGATGCTGTTTATCAATGAATCAAACTTAACTGGTTGTGATGAATGAGGAATTAGGACTTTTTTCCACTTTGAAAAGGTTTGCATTTGAAAGTAGCAGCGACTAAGACAGTAGGTAAATCTGTGCCTATTTAACAAAATATAGTCTAAATATGTCTGTTATATGAGAATTTATTTTTTATTTTGAAGATATAGAAATGTGCAGAGGTAAATAGAGGTAAAATCCACTTATTTAAATGTTCTCTTTGTATCATGAAACAAAGCGAAATAAAAGATTCAAGGTACGCCAAATAAATGCATTGTATTTACATGTGCCCTGGAACTAGTAGAGGAACTGACACTGAGCACTTAAAGGAATAGTACACCCAAACATGATTAGCCTTCATTTTCTACTCACCTCCATGCTGAACAACACTCTGGAGTACTTTTTTGATATCTCAAATGCATCTGGAGATCTGGGAGGCTTCTTGCTGTCTGCTGACATTCAAATAATGGAGGTCTATGGCGCCCGAGGCAGAAAGGTCCATAAAAGTCCACAAAAAACGTGTCAATATTCCTCCATACTGCTCGTCCAATGTATTCCAAGTGTCCTGAGTGGGTAGCGTCCATAATTTACTCGAAACGAAGTCATTTAGAATGTTTTTAGAGCAAAAAACAGTAGTGTATAGGATTTCCTAAAAGCGCGTTCACGAGTCTACGGAAACCGCGGCAGACCAAACCAGACGAAAGTGCGCATTCAGCTCAGCAAAGAACTCATGCTCTTCCTCAACACTGAAGTCCTCAGACATTTTTCTTTCGTTGTTTCTTTATTTGCACAGGTAAACAGCACATTTCTTCTTCTACGCTTGCATTATCGGCAGAGCAGACGCTGAATGCGCACTTTCATCTGGTTTGGTCTGCCGGCTTCCGTAGCGTCGTGAACGCGCAGGCGCGCGCTTTCAGGAAATCCTATACACTACTGTTTATGCTCTAAAAACATTCTAAATGACTTCGTTTCGAGTAAATTCTGGATGCTACCCACTCAGGACACTTGGAATACATTGGACGAGCAGTATGGAGGAATATTGACACGTTTTTTGTGGACTTTTATGGACCTTTCTGTCTCGGGCGCCATAGACCTCCATTATTTGAATGTCAGCAGACAGCAAGAAGCCTCCCAGATCTCCAGATGCATTTGAGATATCAAAAAAGTACTCCAGAGTGTTGTTCAGCATGGGGGTGAGTAGAAAATGAAGGCTAATCCTGTTTTGGGTGTACTATTCCTTTAATATATTAACCTCACTCTACAAGCTGTAAATCTAGGATGTAGTTACTCTATGTAGGAGCCATTTATAGTTGTTGGTGTTTAGGTGTGGTTTGTTTCTGGGTTATTTGTTTTGGGTGGTGGTGACCTATATTCTGCTCTACCACTGGTGGCGGTGTGGAGGGGAAGGCTTTATAGGTAAGACGTGAGAGGGCAGAAAGGGTTTTGGGTGACGGGAGGTCATACGGTTTTTACCGCTTTCTTTGGCCCACAATAGCCTGCGTCCTCCGGTTAAATTCTGTTATTTTCACATTCTCCATAGTTACCTGTCCATCTCACGTGTTGTAAAGACCGCCACTCGGATTGTTTGGAAAGTTTGTTCATATACAAACGTACTTCAATAACTGGGTACGCCCATACCTTATATCCTGGTTTCCACCTCCTCTTTTAAGTGTGTTAAATTCCAGATTCCCCGCACCCACAAGCGACAAAAAGGTGGTTGATAGTCGCTACACTCTATTTAACCCATTTCATGTATTTTATTTAGGGCTGAAACAATTAATCGGATTAATCAATTATTGAAATAATGTCAAAAAAATTTAGTAATCAATTAATCGTTAACTGGAGTATAGAGACTCTAAAACGCTGATGAAGATTCTCAGTCATCCAGTTCATAGTCATTCCGTAAAAGTTCAAAAAATATCCACAATCCAATTCAAATTTGAATTGAGAAAGCTTCCTGGAGAGGTGGCGAAACGTCTTCAAATCTTGGAAACCAAGTCCAGTGGATATTTTTTTTTTTTTTTACTTTTACGGAGAGACTCCTCTTTAGCTCACAGAGCGACCCACTATTATACCGTTAAATTGTAGAAATTATACCAAAATTGTAAAAAAATAAATGCAAATTTTGAATTTTAGACAAAACATGTTTTCGTCTGTCAATATTCTCCTTCAAGAACTCCTCTACTACTGCAACAATGCTGTATTGTAAATTATAAACATGTTATTCACATGTAATTATTGGTAGGGACAAGTAGGTCGGTCCAAAATTTTGGTAGGGACATGTCCCTATGGTCCCTATGCAAACCTACACCCATGGTTTTTTGCTGAGTTAAAGTTTCTAGATTATTAAATAAGAACTTTGACAGGTTATCCTCAGTCATAACATTAGAAACGTGGTTCTGTTTCTCACTGATAAGAGCTGACTCTTTTCAGGGTTCATTCTGGGAATTCTTCTTAGCCGCAGAGTGCCAGAAGGGCGCCCCCTGCTGTTCTTCTTCAGCTTCAGCGCTGTCCTGCTGCTCAGCGCTCTGATGCTGCACGCCGGCCTGCAGCAGCTCAGCATCGACCTCTCCTGGTGAGCATCTCAGCAGATCTAAGCTTCCATCACAGGCGTCTCATCTCATTGGGTCCGCCTGTGTTTCTTTTCTTTTTAAAGGTCTATAGCTTTGGCTAAGAAATGGTGCAGCCACGCTGAGTGGATCCGTTTGGACACAGCCCCGTTCTCCTCCCTGACCCGGGACTGCGGGGCCATTCTTGGTCTGGGGCTGTCCCTGTACTGGAAGCCCAGCGGATGGTCCCTGCCGTGGGCTCCCAGAGCTCTGTCCCTGGCCGTTTCATCCATGGCTCTCTACCACATAAACCGCCTGCCGCTCCCAGTCAATCCGCAGGGCCTCTTCTACAGCCTGGTCTTTGTTAAGTTTGCCCTGGTGCCTCAGATCGTCATGGTGCTGGTTCCTGGTCTGGTCCACGTTTTCACACCCAAAAAGAAAAAGGACTAGAAGTGATCTCCTTCAAACAAGTTCATTCCCAAAGAAACGGCGCTTTCCTACTTTAAATTTATGATTTATTTCAGAAACTGTCGTCGGGTGGCGGCTTTATTCAGAAAACAAAACTTGATTTTCAGACTTTTTCATTAGTAATTTGATTAAATATCTTTATTTCCAGCCTGTATTGTAATATTTTTTATTTTTCTATGACGACCACCCCCTATCCTTTATCTAATTGTGAATTTTTATGCTTTTCAAATGTGCAGTAAATGTACTGCTGCTGTTAAGTGTTACATGTGGTTTTATTTTTGCAGAACTGTTTAACTGCACCAGGCTCAGGCTGGTAGCAGCTTTTTAAACATTAACATTGTAGGTTAAAATAAGTGGAAAAGCAACAATTATTCCTCCCGTTGCTGCATTTACTCACAGTATTGGTGATTACAGTTACACTTATTAATCATTTAATAACTTTAGTTGTTTACTTTATTGTTTCAGCGGATTTCTGGAGCTTTGATCACTTTTTATTAATCTGTTCCCTCGATTAGAAATATTTCCGATATGTGCAGCCTTGTTTCCCAGCTCCAGAAGTGGGCAACAACAGGTGGGGGTGGGGCTACGTACTTTTTCTGGTATCTGAATAAAATTTTAAACTATAGGAAATGTTCTGATAGTTTTAGAGCTTTAAAACTGTTGCTTTAAGCCGTTTTTTTTTTTTTTTATAACTTTATTTTTATTTTGATCGTTATTAACAAACAATACATAGAAACTATAATAGACAAAAAGTACAGAACAATCGAAGCAAAAAACAAAAAACAGGGGGAGACTCGTATTTTAGTAACTCAAAACACGTGGGGACCATCCATTTCCAAAATTAGTCCGGTATCGTTGATGTGAAGTTTGTCCATTTTTCCCATTTGTCTAAGCATTGCTGCTCCTGCGTCCTCAGCCTATGTGTTAGAAGCTCCATCTCAAATAGTGAGATCACAGTCTGTATCCACTCCTTTGTGGTAGGAGGTTCAGATTTGCACCACCTCCTAGTTATCACCTTTTTAGCTGCCACCAACAGAATTTTTAACAAATAACAATCATTATTAAATGTGATATTGTCCAAAAGACCAAGGTATAATACCAGACCGGACTTGGGTATTGAGTAACCCAGTATTGTTACAATCTTACTGTGAATTTCGTTCCAGAACTGAGTAATTTTAGGACAAAGCCAGAAAATATGCGCGTGATTAACATTAAATTCTCCACAATCTCTCCAGCATGGCTGAGCTCTAGATTTGAATTTACTAGTAATTTTGGGTGTTATATAAAATCTGATTATATTCTTCCAACAATGTTCTCTCCAGATTCTGGAAGAGGGTGTTGTAATTTGGGTCTTCCAAATATTCAGCCAGCCTTCGTCGGTTATTAGAATATCAAATTCCCTTTCCCATTTTGTTTTAATATTCAATGTATTAGTGCCTCTATTTTCTAACAGATATTTATAGAGTAAAGACACTGTTCTTTGTTTTTTACCCTTATAGGTCTCAATCAGCATTTTGATAATCCCATTTAACATTTGGGTCTATTTTTTGTTTTATTTCTTTGTTATAGAAGTCCCTTAATTGTAGATATCTAAAGTGATCTTGAGTTCTTAGAGCAAACTCTTGCTGTAGTTCCTGGAAACTTTTAAAGTGCCCATTGTTAAGGACTACGCATAACGCTGTTAAGGCTCTTTCTGACCACTGTTTAAATCGTGTGTCTTGGATAAAATATTTATTATAGGCTGGCCACTGGATCAGACCCAACTGTTTCTCTAATTTGCATATTCGGATTATATGTAACCATTTACCCAGAGAAAAACTAGTAATGGTATTAACATTCTTTAATGTATTCTTAGTGGTCTCTATATCACCAATGATACTCCGCAGTTCTCTTCCATTAACTCTTTGTTCAATATTTTTCCATTTCGCTTCATAATTTATGTCACTTATATTTATTATGGGAGTTATTTGGGCAGCATGATAATATTTTCTAAGGTCAGGTAAGGCCCTACCTCCTTTCTCCTTTGGTATATGTAAAGTTTCAAATTTTATTCTGGGTTTTTTACCGTTCCATATGAATCTAGAAATAATCTGGTTCCATGTTTTAAACTGTCTTTCCGGGATTTCTATAGGTAATGCCAAGAAGAGGTACAATAACCTTGGTAACATGTTCATTTTTATCGCTTCAATTCTGTAGCTGAAGTCTAGTGTTAGGACATCCCACTTTCTAATATCCCTCCTAATTTCTTGGTCCACTTTAGTAAAGTTAGCTTTGTACAGATCACCTATGTTTTTCGTTAATCGTATTCCTAGGTAAGTCATCATAGTAGAGCTCCAATTTAAATAATATTTTCTACGTATTGATTCAGATGGTGTATAAGCGAATGTCAAAACCTGTGTCTTTTTCAAATTTAGTTTGTATCCTGAATAGAAGCCAAATATCTCTAACTGGTTGATCAGACAAGGCAGCGAGTTTTCAGGGTCTGATAAATAACAAATAACATCGTCTGCAAACAAACCTATTATATGGGACTCATTATGAATATCTATACCTTTAAGATCCTTATGTTGTCTTATGTGTTGTGCCAGTGGCTCAATAAAAATTGCAAATAAAGTTGGTGACAAACAGCAGCCCTGACGGGTAGAGCGCTCTAGTTTTATATTGTCAGTTAGATTTCCATTAATCTTGATTCTGGCCACAGGTGACTGATACAAAGTCCTCACACACTGTACAGCTTTTTCATTAAAGCCAAATTTTCCAAGTGCTTTATATAAGAAGTTCCAGCCTACGCTGTCAAAAGCTTTCTCTGCATCGAGACTGATTAAGATAGCTGATGATTTTTTATTTTGAATATGGTCTATTATGTGAAGTGCCCTCCTGATGTTATCTCGCATTTGGCCACCCTTAATAAATCCTGTCTGGTCCTCATCTATGATATCTCCAATGAATTGCTCAAATCGTTTCGCTAAAATCGAGGTATAGATTTTATAGTCCATGTTTAGGATAGATATTGGTCTATAATCAGAGCATGTTTCACTCTTCCTTTTTTTCGGAATGACTGTTATGATTGCTTCTCTCCAAGATGGCGGGAGCACTGCATGTTCCAGTGTATAATTAAATGATTTTTCTAGTAGTGGTAGGAGATCTTCGCTGAAGGATTTGTACCACTCAGATGGCAATCCATCACTTCCTGGTGTTTTACCATTTTTTAACCTATTAATTGCCTTTTGTATTTCTATCCTAGTTATATAGGAAGTGAGAAGTTTGTTTTGGGTTTCACCAATTGAGGGCAGATCCAGTGACTCCAAGAAGGTTTCTATCTGTCCATCATTAGCAGAGGGAGGCTGACTGTATAATCTCTGGTAGTATTTCCTAAACCTGTCCTCAATAGTTGCTGGGTCATGTATCATTTGATTTGTTTCATCATCCTTTAATTTATAGATATGTCTATCTGACTGTTGCTTTTTCAATTTCTTTGCCAACAGTTTTGTTCCTTTAGGTCCCACCTCATGATATGATTGTTTTATTAACTTTGATTTCTTTTCAATTTCATATGTAAGCATTTTATCAATGTTGTTTCTTAGTTCTTTTATTTTTATTAACAGGTTGGGATTTTGGGTTAATTTGTGTTGTCTTTCCAGATCTGTTAGTTGAGCTCTTTCTTTTTCATAGGCATCCACTCTAGATTTCTTAAAGGCCGCTGTTTTTGAGATCAATTTTCCTCTTAATACTGCCTTAAGTGCGTCCCATAATATCACCGGATTAACCTGTCCATCGTCATTCTCTTCTATGTAAGTTTTTATATCGTGGGAAATTCCGGCTTTGATTGTTTTGGAGTTCAACAAGCCTACATTTAATCGCCATGCTGTTTTGCGTTTTTCAGAAGATAAATTTAGTTTTATTCTTAGCGAGGAATGATCAGATATACTTGTTTCTTCTATTTTACATTCCTTTATCTTATATATATCAGATTTATTCATGAAAATAATCAATTCTAGAATAACTTTTATTAGGCGCTGAGTAATGGGTATAGTCCTTTACATTGGTGTTTAATTCCCTCCAGACATCAACAAATCCAAATTCCTCAAGTGTCAATTTAAATTTTTTTGTAGTTGAATTTTGTTGTTTTTTACTATTTGTTGTATCAAGTTTTGTGTTTAATACCATGTTGAAATCCCCTCCCCAAACCAACATTCCCTCCGTTTCCATAAATATTTTGTTTAGGAGGCTATTAAGGAATTGTTTATTACTATTTTGCCTTTATGGCTACTAAAGATTGTTTGAAATCTGTTGTTTTAACTTAAAGGCACCTTTTATGCTCATCACAGATGTGTCAATTATTTTTATACAGGTCCTGTCGGAAAGTATGATAGTGAATATCATTGTGATTTTTCATTGTGCTGTTTTACTTTGCAGACAAAAAAAGGAAATAAACATAAATGCAGAATTCATCTTGTCTTGTAAAAGTATTTCTTAATCAAATACTGATTTTTTTTAAAGACTTTTAGGTATTTTAGAATCAAGTAAGGATGAAAAAAAAGAGAAAAAAAAGAAGAAAAAAAAAGGAAAAAGAGAAAAAAGAAAAAAAAAAAAAGAATCAAGTAAGGATATAAGAAGGTATTTTTTTTTCAGTCAAGTTCCTACATTTTCATCCAGTATTAGATGTAATTCAATCCATTAAGTCTTCAGACTCCATTCCTGAGGAAAGTTGAATATTTATCTTTCAGCAAACATATTTTTTGGATTGATGGAATAAGACGGACATCTGAAATCTCAAAGCCCCTCTGAAAACAAATGTTTGTTTGTTTTCCTTTCTCCTTATCAGACCCATTCTGGTTAATGCAGATTCAGGATTAAACTGGCAATCATCCATTGTTCACATCTGCTCCTCTTTAGCCCACAGCTACCTTTTCTTAGAAAAGATGTTCATTAAGTTTTTATTTTGATTTGTTTTTAAACTGTCACAAAGACTGGCTCCCATTTCTAAACATTTATCCATAATCTATATTTTTTATGTTTTTTTTTTTTTTTATCCTGACAGCTCATTTGGACACGTTTCTTGAAATAACATTTTAAAGAGGATTTTCCTCTACCTGATGTAAAGAAAAGATATTTGCCTAATAAAGAAAATGGCATTTAAATGATTTTATTGTATGTGTTGTCGGAAAATTTGTATCTTTCTTCTATTATATATTAATATTCATATTTACTCACTATAAAAGTTTTCACTCAGTCTGTTTTTCTCTCAAGGCCACACATTTCTCTCCAGGCTGGTGTTTGTAGACCGGACATAGCTTCTTCCCATAACAAACCAGATTCTTTCTCAAGGTTTATTCATAACATGTTACTGTTAACCAAAGTGTCTGTAATTTGTTTTGACTCTGACTGCTTTCCATTGTTGTAAGTAGGGGGGGAAGAACGCTGCCCAGATCAGAACAGAGCAGAATGCTGCGCCATGAAGGCTTCATGATGACTGTTCTCTCTTTGCAAAGATTATTAATAAATGTGCAGACTGAGTGAAATCCATCGATCTCCGTTTATTTAACCAGGATGAATAGTTGAATACTTTTTTCCCACAACAGTATGTTTCGATTTTTTTTACTGAAAAATATTCTGCAGTTAGACTGAAAATGTGTCATGTTTTGACACATCAACAAATTAGAATAAAAAG